CTATAAAGAACAAAAGAAATGAACAGGGATTGGAGAGATGATCAGTGGTTAAGAGCACTGGCTGCTCTTCCAGAGGACCCAGGTTGGGTTCCCAGCACCCACGCGATGGTTTCCAACCATCTGTAGCTCTAGTTCCAGTTCCAGGGAATCTGATGTCCTTTTCTGCTTCCTCAGGCACCAGGCATACATGTGATGCAGGCAAAACGCTTGCACACATAAAGTAGGAATAAATCTTTAAGAAAATACACTAGCTGGGCGTTGGTGGCGCAGGCCTTTAATCCCAGCACTTGGGAGGCAGAGGCAGGCGGATCTCTATGAGTTCGAGGCCAGCCTGGTCTACAAAAACTAGTTCCAGGACAGCCTCCAAAGCCACAGAGAAACCCTGTCTCAAAAACAAACAAACAAACAAACAAAAAACACGAACAAAGTTTGCATTATTGCCATTTCTACTCACACTTGAATTTACACTACACATTCTGCCACAGAATTTCCTCATATTCTCTTTTTTACATAAGAGACTTATTGATGACTTTTTTGTATGCTTATGTGGATAGGTTCAAGTGTATGTATGTTCACCACCTGAGAACTCCATCTCCCCAGCTCCTCTATTTGTTGCCTGAAACAGTCTCAATATATAGACCAGCTGGTCTCAGATTTGCTGTCCTTCTGTGTCTGCAGCCTTGGACTTCTACAGACCAGGCGGACCTTGAATCCATCTGCCTCAGCCTCCCGAGAGCTGGGATTAAAGGCCTGTGCTACCACTGCCCAGCCCATATTACAACTTGTAATAATTTAAGCAGCTTTCTTTTTCTTCTCTTTTTTTAAAATATTTATTTATGATGCATACAGTATTCTGCCATGTTTACACCAAATCTCATTATAGATGGTTGTGAGCCACCATGTGGTTGCTGGGAATTGAACTCAGGACCTTAGGAAAAGCAGCCAGTGCACTTAACCTCTGAGCCATCTCTCCAGCCCCCCCCCCCTTTTTATTTTTCAAGACAGAGTTTCTCTGTGTAACAGTCCTGGCTGTCCTAGAACTCACTCTGTACACAAGACTGGTTTCAAACTCACAGAGATTCACCTGCCTCTGACTCGCTGGGATTAAAAGCATGCGCCACCACTGCCCAGCTTTTTTGCTTTATTTTGTTTTCCAGACAGGGTTTCTCTGCGTAGCACTGGCTGTCCTGGAACTCACTCTATAGACTAGGCCGGCCTTGAACTCACCTGCCTTGGCTTCCTGAGAGTTGGGATTAAAGGTCTGTGCCACCAGCAGTATCCATGCCCAGATTTTAAAGAACACTCCCATTTTTACATTTTAATTGGGAGAAAAGAAAGCATAAATTTATGTGAACTTACATAGGTGATGGGGGATGGACTAGCATAAGGTAGTACTGACATCAGATGAAACATAAGGTTTAAAAAAGTGCACTTTGACAGAGTCAAGAGTTGAGGCTGTGGTCAGCGGTAGGGCACTTGCCCAGTATGCATGAAGTCCTGAGTTTGATCCCTAGCACAGCAGAACCACTAAATACAGTCCTAAAACCAGTCCTAACAAGTTTGATCAATACTTATTAAGCAGAAAAAGTGAAATTTTGTTGGGAATGTTTGTCTTACTGCAGAGTGGGGTAATTTCTTTCTTCTTAATTTGATAATTTTAATCTTGGATGAATATTGCTCACACTAGGATAGACAGGTTTTAGCTACCCCTAGTTTTCATCTTGATGTTTCCCAGATGTCAGCATCAGGAAATGTTTCAGAAGAATCAAACCTGAGGAACTCTGTAAACTACTTGTTAAACCTAACTATTACTATAAATTAATTACATAAACATATATATATATGCATATGGCAGGGTGCTTGCTTAGTTTGTGTGCCTTTGGTTCAATCACCAGTATGATATAAATTGCTATGGTTCTGGGGTCTTCAGAGATTCACCAGTCCGGCAATGCATACATTTTAACATAGCAGAGGCTTTTATTCAAACACTTGAGCCAGGTCTCCACTCTAGACTGGTGATTCCCAAGCCTGTCTCCTAGCCACATTAGTTAGTGGTTAATAAGACAAAGAACAGAAAGTTACATTGTTTTTTTATTTTTATTTTAGTGTTTTTGTTTTTGAGCAGAGTCTCTCTGTGTAGCTCTGGCTGTCCTGGAATTATCTCTGTAGATCAGGCTGGTCTCCAATTTACAGAGATCCACCTGCCTCTGCCTCCCCAGTGCTGGATTTAAAGGCGTGTGCCACCACCGCAGGCCATTTTGTTTCGTTTTGTTTTGTTTTTGAACATTCTGTTTTTTAAACATACATCTTGCAGGTGTCCGGTTATCTCCAGCAAAAACAAACTTTTGTTTACAGAAACAGAAACACTGTTAACTTTGTGACCTATTACCTTGTATAAACACCAAGTTTTGCTAAAGGTGTACAGGACCAGGCAATTACAAAAACAGCCCTTAAAATCCCTTGACATTTGGTCAAATTTTGTTTTGTAATTCTAAGCACAGTAATTTGTAAACTTTGAAACATAAAGTTAGCCATCAGCATGTCCATCATAAATATATAAACAAACCTGAAGGAAATCACTCAAAACTTACCACTTCTGAATTTTCTCACTATACGTTTATTATTTATGTTCTTAAGATTCTTTACAGTGGCCAGCCATGGCCTAGGCCTGTGATTCCATTGATTTGGGAAGGGTACATAAGAGTGTCATGAGTTTAAGGCCAACTTGGGCCAATTTAGCCAGACCTTTTCTTGAAGTGAAAATAAATAAATTTTGAAATGTTAATACCTATTGTGTGACATAAGTACTCAGACCACTTCCCAATTCCATGTTTAGTAAGGTTTCATTGGTGGATTGAAATCAACCACAGTGGGAGTATTTACACCACAGAAATTGACAGAAGGCACAAATTATCCCTGCCCCCTCTTCTACTGCTGGGTGAGCTGGAAGTGGTGAGAAGTTCCTCTTGGAGTTTTGTTACCACCAGGACAGATGACTGGGAGCAGCAGGCACAAGCTGAGCTGTCATCAGAAGCTGCTTCTATTGAGTTACCTCCGGACAGCTAGGTTAGTCCTCCTTCAATCCCAGGGAAAGCAAAGATTGTAAATCATTTGAATTGTAAAATGATCCTTCCTTCCTTCCTTCCTTCCTTCCTTCCTTCCTTCCTTCCTTCCTTCCTTCCTTCCTTCCTTCCTTAAGAAAGGCTCTGGCTGTGTGTTGGTCAGCCTAGAACCTAAAATGTACACCAAATGGTTCTCTCTCTCTCTCTCTCTCTCTCTCTCTCTCTCTCTCTCTCTCTCTCTCTCTCTCTCTCTCTCTCTCTCTCTCTCTCATAGCCCTGGATGTCTTTAGAACTCATTGTGTCAACAAGGCTGGTCAGAACCTGCATCTGCCTCTTGAGTTCTGGTGTTAAAAGCAAGGACCACCACACCCAAATCACGAGAAAGAATTTATTATTCTAGCTAGGGTGATTAATTTCTTTTCTCAGTGCCCAATTTTTAGGGAAGTATATTAAAATAGTTGAAAACAATTACTCATCATTAAGTCTGTGGGGAAAAAAAAAAGCACGATCAGTATTTGAAAGGTTCTCTGCCGCAAGAGGCTTTCATTCTTGGAAAATAATTAAGGAACAGAATAAAGGAAGTCAAGGAACAGCATATAGTATGCCCTGCCTCTAAACCCATCTTGTATGTGAGTGTGTGTGGCGGGGTGTGGGTTAGGGGCTGACTTAGACAATTCAAAGAGGGGGAGGGGCAGGGGTCATTTCCACCTGGAAAAGCATGTGAATTCAGCCAGGTGGTGGTAGTGCAGGCCTTTAATCCCCAGGCCTTTAATCCCGGGAAGTGGGGAGGCAGAGGCAGGTGAATCTCTGAGTTTAAGGCTAGTTTGGTTTGGTTTATGCAGTGAGTTCCAGGACAGTCTGGACTACAACAGGAAACTTTGTCTCGGGGAAACAAAACAAAACAACAAAACCCAAAACCCAAAAACACATATATGCAAAAAGAATGTGAGTTCCTAATATGCCAAAACAGGCCAAAATGCCCTAGTTCCAAAGTCCCATCACACCCTTAGCACAATATATCTGTATGTTAGAGACCGGCTTTTTGATTGATGGTTCTAGCATGCCCCCTCCCTTTTCAAGGGTCTCATACTGTGAACAGCTGGGACATCTTAAGCTCTGACTGTCCCCTTGCTTCAGTACCTAAGTGCTGGGATGACAGGCCTTCCCCATCACGTGGGCAGGGATGGCCTTCAATCCACTATTACTAATTCCAATAGTACCTAAGCTTGAGGGTCTAAGGAATCTTACCATCCCTCTACTCGTTAGATGCTAGAACCTACCTTCTTGGATCCAATGTGGAAGTCTACTTGAGAAGAGAAAAACTGCAAACCAGTTTTAGGAGAGATGAAAAATTTCTCAAAACAGAGACCAGTCGAAAGAGTAAGTATTTGTGACATGTGGGAATTAAACAAAATCTATATTTCAGATCATAAATTATGTTGGTTAATGTAAAGGCGGGTCCACTGCTATGTTTGACCAGCTTTTGTGGGGGGCTAGCGCCCTGGGCAGGCCCGGAAAAGCTCTAACCTTTTCGTTCACCCCTTCAGAGCTGTTAATCAAAACTATCCCTATTCAAGTCCGGCTTGGGAAATCTTTCCGGACTTCAGAGGGGACCCCGCGCCGGGTTGAAGACTGGTATAAACAGAAGACTCAGTCTTTCCCATTTCTGGGCCTCAGTTTCCCCAGCTATAAAGTGGTGTTGGGCAGTGATCCCCGTGGTGGTGGTGGTGGGGCTGCTTCACAGTGAATCTGCTAACCATTGCAAGCTGCCCGCTCTGGGAGACGCAAATGGGGGTCATCCCGGAGCCGGCGGGCGCGCTGTGGGCGGGTCCCCCATGGGGTTTCCAGCTCGCCCAGGCGCAGCGCCCCGCAGGCCCAAGCTTTCCCGGGGGGAATTCCGGGCGGTGCGAGCGGGCACTGGGGGCGGGGCAGGGCGGGGCAGGACGGCCGCTTATAAGACGGGCTGTGCGCCCGCTCCGGGCCACTAGTTGCACGGTTGAGACCATGGCGTCTCCTTGCCTGCTCGCTTTGCTGCTACTGCTCTTCGGAGGATTCCCTGTCGCCCCCGCCGAGTCGGTAGGTGTTTGAGGGATGTCTTAGGGCGGGGGGGCGGTGCCTCCTTTGTTTCCTGAGATCCCCGGTTCCGTATGGAGTGGGGTACACCAGGAGCTGCGCTACTCCTGTCTGGACACCGAGGCGGGGAAAACTTTGTGGAGAAAGTTTCTTCGGGGGTCGCGCGGGAAGACTGGCGGGAACTCCTCCACGCGTCGTGCGCCCCTAGATTGTTGCTCTGCGCTCCTGTCCTGGCCTCTGCTTTGCCGCGGGGCTCCGGGATGGGACGTGACTAAGTTGGTGTCAACTCTTCTCCTCCCACACCCTCATCCCATCCCTTCGCTGTGATCTTGGGGCCGGCTCTGCGCACAGAGCATCCCTCCTCTCTCTGGGTGTCCAGAACAGACGGCTTGAGCCTTAGATGTCCTGGGGACGAGGTGGGCAGCGTGCATTCGGGAGTGGGAGAATTTAGCGTTATGTGGGGATCTTGTTTCCACACACTTAGAGGAGTGGAGAGAACTTCTTCCTGGTCACAACCTTGCCACTGGCCTGAGAAGGGGCAAAGACTTCGGTGTCACCGTCCCCATCTGCAGAACGGGTTTGCTGCAGTAGGATCAAGAGGTGACCCTTCTTGCTTCAGGCTGCCTAGAAAGTTGGGTCCCTTATCTTTACAGAGCGGACTGGCTCAACAGCGACTTACACTGGGCTCCGGGCTAGGGGTTGAGTTACAGCTGGTTTTTGAGAAGTTTCTGTGTGGAACAGGACACGGGAAGCTGAGGCACCCACCTGGGTGAGGTGAAGGAGCTGGAGGAGAAAAGGTTCCAGGGAGCTTAAGGAAACTTACTTTTCAGGGTCCCTAACAGAGTCCACAGGACCCTGGGCCACACACAGCTCTGTCATAGGAGAACGTTAGGAGGCAAACACATACGGAAAGTTGCGGGGCATAGCAGTTTCTGGGAGAGGGGATCTATCCCAGGATCTTGGGTAATTTGTACCTTGAGTCCAAGTTTTAGGGGGGAGAAAAGACCCAGAAGTTGAATTATTAATAGTCATTCTTCTGAAAATTCCTTTTCTCTGGGCATACTTAGGGCACAGTTGCTTCTGTTCAGGAGACTCTAGGTGAGGAATGAGTGAGGGCCAGTGCTGCACGCAGCATTAATTCCAGTCAAATACAGAAGCTGTTCCTTGCAGGTTTCTGTTCTAACAGCTTTCTGACAAATTTGGAATGAGATGTTTTTAGTTCCAGACAACCTCACTGTTTACTGTTCTTAAACTAGTCCTGAGGCAGGAGAGGTTAAGTAATTTGCTGAAGGTCACACAGCTAATAACCCGGCTGAGTCAGACTGAAGTTGGGCAGCCAGGCTTGGAAGTGCTTGTTTTTATCTTCTAGTAGTGGCTGCTGTTGGGTCCCATTCTCAAGACCGATCTCACATCTGTTGATATCTGGGGTTAGAAAACCTCAAGGAATGGTGGGGGGAAGGAACCAGAATGTGGGTCATGGCTTTCGTCTAAAGCGACGGCATCTTGGCAGAAAGGTGTTTGGCCGAGGCTGGAGCCCATACCACTTGCCTCCCTGTGCAATAACTCTGAGCGAACTGCTGAAGGGTGTTGTGAAGTTGAGTCTTTCTTGGGGATTTGTCTGAAGAAATTCTGGCTGGGCCGTGTGAGGGAAAAGGACCTAAGAGGTGGCTGTGGTCAACACGTGGTCAGTCAGTCACATGCCATGGATCTCAGCTCAACCAGCAGGTGCTTTGCTTAGGGGGAGGAGTAGACGGCTGTCGGCTGTGTCCCCCAGATCAGGAGGAGGATGTGGTTTGGGGGAGGTACGTCATGCCAACCTGTGGGTCACCCAGTCTAGCAAGGGGGAGAAGCCAGGGCTGTGTCTCCCAGATCAGGAGGAGGATGTGGTTGGGGGAGGTAGGTCACACCAGCCTGTGGGTGACCAGGTCTAGCAAGGGGGGAGAAACCAGCCTTAAGCAGCTGTTTCCTTCCAGAGGTCTCTGTCTCAATCTCTTAGCCCGATCTCTGTGCTGTCTCCTTCCTGGCTAATGTCGTGGGCATCTTAACCTCTGTTTGGGGCATAGGGAATCCCCTAAAATTGTGGCAGGAAAAATCAGACCAAATCATGCTCGTTTAGACTATAGAAATGATACTATCTGCCCCCCCATTTTCTTGGAATTAGAGAAAAAAAAAGAAAGCCTGGGGAGTCAGGTTTGGCTAATAGCTGTTATGATTTATTGAGTACTTTCTGATAACATAATTTAGGCTGTCACTGGAGTCTCTTTCTCTCTCTCTCTCTCTCTCTCTCTCTCTCTCTCACACACACACACACACACACAAACTAGCACGTGGTGATTATGTTATTGTGTCCTCTTTTCCAGATAAACTATATGGAGAGATTAGTTGATATCACCTTTTAATACACACCATGCAAGCAGGCCATCAACTGTCTGATAAAGTAGTCTTCCGCATGTTATGAGGGCCTTTCTCTAGATTTTGCTTTTAGTTCAAACACAGATTTGGGGAAGGGAGCCCAAGCTAAACACTCAGCTGCCCTCTCCTCTGTTTGGCAGGTTTGTCATCCTAAACCTGTTCTTCCCGTCCAGCTGGGAGCATTCCCTGCTCTGGCTCTGCCTTCCTGCCACTCCCACCCTGGCCAATTAAAGGCAACCTTGTTTTGGGTTGGGAAGGTGGGGCAAAGTGTTGTTGCCCAGGGGCACAGCCCACTAACTTGGCACCAATCCCAGGCAGTTCTGAGAAAGTATCTCCCACCCACCAGGTGTATTTCAATTTAAAGACATCTGGTCTACCTGAGAACTCTCCTTGATAGCACCAAAGGGAGTGGGGGAGTGAATGGGGCTGGAGGGCACTGGGAGGGGCCGGAAGCCTGGGGGGGGGCTGTTCTAGGACCTATGAGTGGCTGTCGAGAACTCTTGGGACTTCTTGGGAATCCATAGAATTACCACACATCCGGGAAACTATTTGGGCCATGATCTGGAGAGCTATGTGGGGTTGGGAAGACTTTCCTTTGGTCTCTCTGGGTGTAGAGGTCTTCCACAGAATCTGACAGAGCTAGAAAGCTTTAAGAACCCCTTACCAGATCTCATATTCGATCACTGCCTTAGGTACTACCTATGTGGATGGGCGTTCTGCCTGAATATATGTAGCACATTTGTGCCTAGTACCCTAGGAGGCCAGGAGAGATGTCAGTTCAACAGGAGCTTCCCTCTGATACTTGGTAATTGAGCACTAACCATTAAGAAAGAGCTATTGGAGACATCTAAGGCATTCCCTCCAGGAAATGAAAGCACACCCATCCACACCTGAGCCTAGAACTCTGCTTTATTCGTTCTACTGAAACCCCTACCTTTCTTATGGGCAGTGATTGTGTGAATGAATAAACTCATGTGTGGAACTTTGGTCTAGAAGTGCTCTCAAGTCAGTATTGCTAGTATGACTATAGCTTGGTACTGCAGGTTAGAATTTTTATGTCCCATTTCACAGATAATTGATGCTGAAAGGAATGTAGTGTTCTGCCAAGATCAGGAACCAGGTCTGACTGAGAATGCTAGGTGTCTGGTTAGTTTGTCCCTCAGAGAACATTTTAGAAGATGGTGACACTAGATAACCTTGGGACCTACTTCTCGGTTGCTAGCAAACATACCTTGTGTCTAGGGCCCAGTGTCCTATCTCCAAAATGAGGGGGCTGGACCATTGTTTCTCCTGAGCTCCAGCCTAGTGGGGAGGGGAAAGGGGAGTTCCCTTGGCTGCTTTGGTAGACTCTAAACAAGTCCCTGTCTCAGAAGAGAAGTGGGGTGGACATTCAGCTCCTGCCATCTCCAGTGCCTAGAAACAGGAGACTTTTCCAAGGACTTGGAGTGCTGATCTCGACTGAATGGGGAGCTAGGCAGCTGGGCTTGCTGTTGGAAGGGATTGGCCACTAGCTGTTCTCTCAGCCTCCTGGACTGGATGAGTTGGTGCGATTTACGAATAATGTTTAAGAGTAGGGGAATGGGATGGACTGGGCTTTGTGAATCACTGTGTATTACTACAGCCTGCCTGACTCACCCATTTCCTATCAGTCTCTCGGCTAATAAGATGGATAGCTCTGTGGTAAGAATGTTGGAATGGGCCTAAATGATTGAAGGTTTTTTGTTTGTTTTGTTTTTTTATCTTGACCTCTGGCAGTCAACATCAGTGTCTAGAGCCTTTGAACATTCATAGTGTCTGTGTGTGTACTTTGACCCTACACACACACACACACACACACACACACACACACACACACACACACACACACCTTAAGCAGTACTGAGGCTTGAACTGGTCTGAATTCATAGAGCCAAGCTAGTATCATTAAGGTTTGGTTTGCTCTAGGATGCTGTGACATTTCTGAGGCTGCTAGGAGGGTTAAAACAGTAGTTAATGGTTGTTGAAGCTCTGAGTTCAATTCCCTAACACCAGTAAATAAATAAATAAGATTATGGAGAGATGAACTTGCAAATGAGACCCCAAGTAGTGGACCAGAGTGGATGTTCCTTAGTGACCTTAGTGACCTGTCCCTGACTTGCCTAGGACCTCTCTCCTCCCCCACAACTAGCCCTGCAGCTGCTAGGTGGGAAGGGACGAGCCTAGGGGTGGGGCTGATAGAGCCCAAATCTTATATTTATCTTAGAAGTGGGCTGTTTGCAGGTTATCAGATGGGTTTATATTTAAACAAGAACCAGTTCCTGGCAGCCCCACCTCTCCTGCCAGGATCTGCAGGTGTCCCTGGCAGCTTGCAGGGAAAGGGGGGCAGGGCATTTACAAGGGTACCAGATCTCCCAGGACACTGCTCAAGCTAAGAGTTGCACCACTACAAGTGGCTGAGCGACTACAAGTAGCGTTCTGGGTTTGGACCAGCAAAGCCAGTGAGTGTTCTGAGAAGGTATTTTCCTGTATCATGCACTAGAGACTGGGAGAACATCTATGTGAACGAACCATTGGGGTTTGATTTAACCCTAGAGAGAGAAACTTGACTTGGA